GTTGTTCGTCACCGTACATAGCATGTCTGTGCAGGGGGGGCGGGGGCGGGGGGGGGTCATCGTGCACCGAAAGGTCCATGTCCTCACTGAAAGGGCCCCCCCCCAGCCAGTCATACAGTTCCCATTCTGCGCAGAAAATCAGCTGCTGGCAATGCGGTTTGCCCTTGCCTGCTCTGAGCGTGGGACGGAGCAAGGCAGCGGTTCTCCTGGGCTCAGCGGAGCGGGTGCGTGCCTTGCCTGGACATGGGGCTTTGTCGTTCTGTTGCAGAGGTGCCAAAAAGAGGAGCAGGTGCTTTGCCTGGTGTTGGTGCCATCATCCTTGGTGGGAGCCCTGCAGTGTAGAGCAAACTGGGAGTCGCTCCAAATGTGGCAGAGACTGATGGGGCTCCACTGCTCAGATGAAATGTGTGGGCACAGCACTGCCGGGCAGCTCAGAGCTGCTGGTCACTTCTTTTTTTAGCATACTTACTGAAAAGGTTTGTCAGAGCCTTTATAATCCCAAACTTCCTTTTGTCCTGATCTCGTTCATGTCTCCCAGCATGACCAAATACCCGGTAACTGCCTCCCCTGTCCCCTTCATTTCCTTTTTGCATCCGTCCAGGTGTTTGACATCCATAGAATCTGTCAGAAAAGTAGTCAAATCCACTCTCGAGGGAGCAAAGAGAAGACTGGCCAGTGCCATATTGTAAGGAGTCGTACACAGCCCGTTAGATGATGCCTTTGTCTCTGATGCTGAGATACGAGCAGTAACTAAAGTACAAAAATTTGTTACTGCATGATCTCCTTTACACAGAAAAAGAACAGAAAATACTACTTCTCCCTTATTGCAGGTAGGAACAGGAATGTTATTGAGCAAGCAGAATAATTTGTTTCTTTGTGATCTGGAAGAGATTTCTCCTTTTTCTCCTTCAACGACAGCTTAAAACTATGTCAATACAAAAAAGTAATCCCAAAGTACTGCTGGATCTGATGCTGGGGACTGACTTTTCACCAGCCCTGCCTGTATGAAACTCCGGGGCAGGAGCTGGCTCTGCCGTTGGTGCCTTTCTTTGCTGCCCGCTGCCAGCAATACTTCAATTCCCTCTGCGTGGTGTTTTAAGGCAGCTGGGATGTGTGAACCGCGCAAGCGTGAGCCTTGGAAAACACGGACGCAGTGAAGGTGGCTAAATAACCAGAGACAGCCCGTGTGGTGGTACTTCTTGTCTTTGAGTTGGCTGGAAACGTGCGTCCCTAGCGATATGACCACTGGTCTGTTTTCTTTCTCTCGCACCCTCCGTGTTGTTTGTGCCCGTCTGTCTGTCTCTTGTCTAGCTCAGGAAGCGCTGCCAGCTGCTGTGCCAAAACTAACCCTGTTACGTATGTTTTTAAGAAGGGCCTGGCACCTTTTTGGGTGAATTGGCCTCTTTTAACTGGAGCTGTACCGCTGTGAGTGACCAAGGACCGTAGCCTGCCCAGCGCCTGTGCTGTTGGCTGGCAGTGGGAGGGGAAGGAGGGGTAGGAACTGGTACCTGCGGCGGTGGGAAGGTTGAACCGGTCTTCTCCAGGGAAGGGCAGTTGGTTCGATGGTCACCAGACACGAGCGTGCGTGAGAAGCTCAGCATGTCGGGTACCTCCCGCTGAGAAGGAGCTCTGAAAAATGCTTGGGAGAAGTCTTCTGCCTCTTGTTTCCTTGGGACTCTGTCCTGGAGTAAAATGCTAGGTGATTCTGGACTAACGAACGTGATACTCGGTCGTCTTCGGCCCGCTGGCTGGGGAGGAGTGTGATGGATGGACTGGGTGTTCAGCGCAGCGCGAGGGTGGGCTCTCTGCTGCAGGGGTGCCTGGGTTTACATGTTGTGAGGTGACAGCCCACACCCAACAAGCCGCTGTCAACTTTTTTTTCAGAGCAGTGGCTCCCTGGATGTTCGGTTTTGTTTGGGTTTTTTTCCCATTTGGGCTCAGTTATAAAGCCTTCCAAAAAATCAGAAGTATTTTTGTATAGCTGCTTCCATGCTAACTTAATCTTCTTATCCCAGTGGACTAAGAAGAATGGGCTGTGCTCTTCTCGCTGGAAGAGGTTTGGAAGACAGCTCTCTGCGTTAGGTTCCCTGTTTCTGAAGAAGTACGGGAGCCTCGGGGCTGTGTGGAGGGGTGGGCCCAGGCGTTGCCAGAAGTTTGGTTGTGTTTACGCCGCAAAATGGCTTCGGATTCGTTTTTTCAGGTTGATCTGCTCCTCTCTGGCATCTGCAGCAGCCTGTCATCTCTTCTGCCATCAGGCTGGAAATCCATGCAGGAAGCAAAGCCCTTGGAAGGCCAAAGTCTTAGCACAGTGCGAGGATGTGTAGGAAGAGGCAGTAAACAGCAATTTATGAAGCGTTTCTGCTTTCTTAGCTTTGGGGATGAGTGTGTCGTATGCTTTTTTTTTTTTCCCATGGACTTTTAAAGAATTCATTCCTGCCTCTCTTTCTGCTTCCTCCCCTCTCCTCCTGCCCCATCTTCCTCTTCCATTTCTCCTCTCTCCCTCTCCAAAAGGGATGGCTAAGCTGAGGCGTGCTGCTTTGAAGAAAACCTGAAGTGTTAGTAGATGTGTGCGAAGTCTCAGCCTCGCAGATCTATCTCTGGTTAACGTAACTAAACCTGTGGCAAATGTTTCCCAGCTCAGCATGGGACTTCTGCGTTCCCTGGGGCGGCTGCTGGGTGACAAGGGCCTGATGTTTTGCAGTCCCCGAGAAGGGCGGGATGGAGAGCAGCTGCAGTGAGCTGCCATCCACTGCCCCTGCTCTGTAAACCGGAGTCCGAGCAAGGCTCCTGCAGCGCAGATTTTGGCATTGCTGCTGGTGTCTGTCAGCAAGAGAGCTGTATACCTGGTGTGGGGTTACACGGTAACTGTGGGCCTGATTCTCCAACGATTGATTGGATTTATGGGCCAGGACCTAGATACCGGTGGGCACAGGTTTGTCCTCCTGCAAACACAGACTTTGCTCGTTCCTTATGTAGCTGACGTGCGTGACTCGATGGGACGTTTCTTTGCAGCAAGCTGGTGACTGCCTCAGTGTTGTGCTGTGTGAATGCAGGAAACGGAGATTTTATTCTTCTACCACAGCTACAAGAGAGACTGAAGAGGGGAAAGATTAAAAACTACTGGGCACCTTCCAGAGGACTTGCCGCTTCGGGAACCACATGGCCTTTTCCTTGCATCCTAGCCCCATCCCTTTCCATGTTTTGGTCCTGAAGTCTCTTTGTTCAGGTCACAGCAGGGACACAACACACCATACCTCACATTTTCTCCACCTTTTCTAGGGCTGACGACACTTTTTCGTGCATCAGTAGATTCCCTGGGACCCTCAGCATCATCACATCTGCACACTTTGGAACTCCTCTGACCCGACTCCCGTTTGTCCCCTGTGTTTCTCACTTCTGTAGTCTCTTTCTCTCGGGACTGTTGCCGTCTCTCATTCTTCTTCACCAAATACTGTTGGTGGTGGTCATTGCAGGATTCTCCCCATCCCTTTGGGCTCTCCCTCTTCCCTTCTGTTGCCCTTCCTTTGAGCTCCAGCAGTCCACGCACATTGGGTTTTGGTACATCCCTTACGACAACGTCTGTTGCCTCCGAGGGAAGGATGCTGTCCTGCGACCCGGGCAGCACTCCCGCTCCCTTGCTCTTCTTGGTGATGGAGCCGGTGGGGAGGGGAGGGTCTGAGGAGACGGTCGGGGTTGAAGCAATACTGTCATTTTCTTGCTGCCTCTGCTGCCTGGCAGGGTGACTAAAACCATGTTTTTCTGTCTCAGCCACAGAGCAACAACAAAACCAGTATAGTAAGCACTGCAAAAGAAACACCCCCAGTGCAGACGTCCATGGTATCTTCCCCAACTGCTATTTTTTTTTTTTGGTTTAATTTTGATTCTGTTCTCTCCCCTTCTCTCCTTCCCCCCCATCCCGAGTGCTGCTTGTGCTGCTCTGTTTCAGCTTGTGTTTTGGCTTTGTTCTGTCTGTGTTCCTGTGCTGCGGTGGGGCCCGATCACAGCCTCACAGGCTTTGGGGCGGGGGTGCCGAGCAGAGCTGCGGGGGGGTGCGGGGAGCGCAGCTTGCCTGGACTTCCCCTTGTGCCATCCCTGTATAGTTCCCTGTGTCCCGTTCAGCTGTCCCTGCTGGCTTTGGGGAGGCTGCTTTGGAAGAAGAGAGTGGCCAGCTCCATCCGCTCTCCCAACACCTGGGAAATGGCGGGTGGACTTCAGGACACCACAGAAGGAAGGGCAGGGAAAGGGATTTTAGAGGAATCCTTTGACGGCCCCTTTGGCCTGCTCAGTCGTCTGGCTGGTCCTCTGCAGCTCGCTGGGCTGGCATCCTCCGTCTGGGCTGGGCGCAGCGGGCTGCGTCGGGTGCCCTGTGCCTGGGACGTTTCACAGCACAGCTCGGTGCGCTGTGCCTCTGTGCTTGGAAGAGCCGGCAGCAGCGCGGGGGGGGGCGGGGGAGGGGCGGAGGAGCGTCCATCCCTGCGCTGTCGCAGTCCCCGGTCCTGCACGGGTGACGGCGCTGGGAGGAGATGCTGCGGGATCCTGCAGCCCGGCCCCCATAGCGAAGGGGTGAGCGCAGGAGCTAGTTAGCACCCGTAGGCCTGGTAGCTGCGCTTCGTTGTGTGTCTCTGAAGAGGTGGATTTGGCTTTTTTGGGGAGGGTGCGATTTGACGCTTTTGTTTTGTGCTGCAGGGCAAAGGGCTCTTGGGACAATTCATAATTTTCTGCTTTGTTCGTTATGGTTTTGATACTGAGGGAGCCTTTCCAAATCAGTAATTATTGTTGTTATTGAAATTGGAGCACATTTTAGAGACTTTTAGAAAAATGTGCTTTTTTCACAGCCCCGTTCCCTTCCTCTCTGAGAGGCATTGAGATGGTCCGGCTTATCCCCTTTTTATTACGGAAATTATGAATGTCCCTTTTTTAGGGTAAAACACCCCGCAAACTTTCATAAAAAACCCAGGAGACAAAGGCCCCAGCCCAGTGTTGTCCTTTCCTCTCCCTCTCCAGAAGCACTTTCCAATGATGCTGCCGAGGGGCCGTTGCTTTGGGAATGGTGCAGGCTGGCTGCTCGGCCGCCGTCAGGCGTTGGTGCCAGCCCGGCTCGCTGGAGGCAAATTGGGAATCTGGGGCGATGGCAGGGGAGCCGGGGACTTTGTCTCCTTGCGCCGGTAGCTGTTAGTGCAGCCTCTCTCTTCAGGAAACCCTCTGTGCAGGAAGTGTGTGCGCGCACGCAAGCACACGTGTGCTGTTTGGAGTCTGTGGTTTGGTTTCTTTTTATGTCGGTCACCTTTTCTCCACTTGCTGGGGAGTGAAAAGAAAGGAGAGGATGCTTTAGACCCAGAGTTTAATGATTCTTCCGTCCTTTCCTAGGAGCCTCAAACCACCGTTGTCCATAATGCTACAGATGGCATAAAGGTAAGGGATGGGAGCGTTGCCAGAGGAACCTCTGCTTCTCTCTTGTCGTTCTCGTCTTCGTGTGTCCAATTTCGATTTCTGCCTTTCCGCCGTCTGATTTGTAGCATGCTCCTGAATACTGCGGGCAGTAGACTGGAAGGGTTGTGTTGTGTGGCTGTGGATCTCTGGAAGAGGCTGAGCAGGGACAGGCGTTCAAATATTACCGTCTCTTTCCTGCTGCGGTGTGTAGTCGCCACTCTCTTTAGTATGTGGGGTGGAAGAGAAGATACAGGCACTTACACGCTTTTTTTTTTTTTTTTCTTCTGGAAATGGAGATCTGTTCCTCTGAGAGAGCCTAGGAGCCCTCCCTTAGCTTCATATTGGCTATTCTTCTTCCAAACCGAAGCAGCTCCCGTTTGATCTCATTTGACAGAGTTGGGTAATTTCTGTCCTGGTAGAAGTTCTGGGTGGACGGCTTGAACGGCTTGAAAGCGCAAAGGCTGAGCAGAGATGCTGTAAAGTTTTGCTTAATATTTGGCCTGCTTCCATCCAAATCTTCCTCATATCATCCTCTCCCTGCCACCCCTGCCAATGTTTTTGCGCTTTTCCCCACCTTCGCGCACAAACAAGTCAAACCGTTTGCTCATGCCACTGCCTGCTGGTGCCTGGTAACGCTCTGTTCTGCCGTGCAGGGTTCCACAGAGAGCTGCAACACCACGACTGAAGATGAGGATCTGAAAGGTAGGTGTTTGGCCTGTGGTTTCTAACACAGCTGAGTGCAGGCAGGGGATCCTGGAGATTCCATCGAGCTCCCCAGATTTCTGTGCCTGCCTCGGTTCCTAAATTCGCCGTGACGCTGTTGTTCCCGTCACAGTGGGACCGTGCGCTGGGGAACCAGCTGACTTGGCCTCTGTGGTGTACAAACGCTGTTTGCCCTGAGCTAATCTGTTTTTTTGTCTCAGAGCTGGAATTCTTTTTCTTGCAAATATCAGAATGTGTTGATCTCCAGTCCATTTCTAGGCGTGGAAAATCCCTACCAGTCCCTTGAGGTTTGGAGTCTGGCTGTGTTTTTGTGCTTCCCTGTAGGTTACAGGGAGTTGAAACTTCTCTGTTACTGCTTGGTCTCCTTTCTCCCCCCTTTCTGGCAGTCTCTTTAGTGACATGCACACGCTTCCCTCCTTACTTTTTTCTCTTTGGGTCTATTTTTGTTTCTAAGATGAAGAACATTCTCAGCCTGTTGTCTCTGGAAACGATTTTTCGTGTCCTTGACTGAGATATCGGTGGAGGGAGAGGCTGAGAAGACATTTCACACTTTTCAGTGACCGTAGCATAAATATTCTGTGCTTTTAAAACTTTTCAAATGGAGGAGATGCGAATCCCATATCTGCTGGTGGTGTCTGAGCAGCTGTCCTTCTGCTGACCTCCCTAAGGAAGGATGAGCAGACGTTTTCCTGAATGAGCAGGTTTGGGATGGGCAAGTGCAGTTCGCATTCCGAGGCAAATGTGTGAATAGTTCGCATTTTGAGGCAGGGGTGTTCTCATGCTCCCTGTCGTCAGTCTGAGTTATGTATCCAGGGAAGAATGAGTGCCAGCCCTGGGGCGTAGCGGCAATGTCACCTCTGTCAGCTGGGCTGGTTTCTGATGCTTTTCCCGTGGCGTATCGCAAGCTGCTGGCTCCTCTTCTGAGGGGTCACGGGGAGCAGAGACGCATGCCGGTGAGGGAGGGAGCGAGCTCTGCAGCACAGATTGTTTCAGATGAGACCTTCCCTCATTACAGGACAGTATTCTCACTCCCACCTTTTTGCCAAAGAGCAGTCTGTGGTTTAAGAACCTAGCTTTGGGGGAACTGGATGGTTTTGGTAGTGTGGTAATGAAGCTGGTTTATCTAACCTCCGCTGGATGTCTGTCCAGAACAGGTACTTGTCCAGAACCTTGGCTCCTTTGGCAGCTTTTGTTCAGGAGAGGCCCCAGACTTGAGCCACTGGGTCCCATAAGTCAGGGAATAGGAGTGCTGGGAGAAGAGGAAGGCTAGGACTGGAACAGCGGCGGGGGGGAAGGAGGGCAGCTGGCCAGGGCTAAATCTATGAAGAATTGTACAGGACTACGTTGCTGCAGATCAAAACCGAGGGGTTTGTTTTGGCAGAGGTTAGAGAATCTTGTTATGATTTTAATAGAAGGGAGCATTTTAATGGTGATTGGGAGGGAAGGAGCTTGCACAGTAATGGTTTGTACTGTGGCCAGCTCTGGTAATTTTAGCGCTTCAGTTTTAAGCGTAGCAGTGTTCACAGCATTCCTTTTCAACTCCTGCCCCTCCGTGTTTCGAGTTAAGCAAGCACTCAAGCAAAGCTAGATACAAAAGTTTTGAGGTGTGGGAGTTCGCGGCATTCTGCGTCGCCGCGACTCTGGGGAAAGGCGAGTGCTCGTGCAGTTCCTCTGCCAGCTCCTTATCGTCCATAGGCAACAGGCGCCGCAGCTCTGTTCTGCAGCGGTGTAGGAGGCACGGTCTGGATCCAGCAGTGGCCGTTGCCTCAGGGATGTGGCGTTTCCACAGTGGTGGGACTAAAGGCAGCGTCCCCCCGTCCCCGTGTCATTCTGAATTGCCCAGCAGGTCCACGCTGTAGAGCTGTCTACTTGGCTTTGCCCTGGAGGATACTCCTGCATGTTTTGTGCCCAGCATTGTGGTTTCTTTAATGTTCTCCTGTTTCCTTTCTCTTTTTTTATTCACTGAACTTGAGTGTTTTGTTTGTGTTTGTGTTTTAATTCCCTGCCATGCTAGCTCCCCCGCTCTCCACCGGGGACGGCAGCTCAGTGCTTGAAGGACGGAGGCACAGTGAGAGCAAAACACAGACTGAGTCCATGCAGTCCCAGCTTTCTCTCTGTTTCTCAGCCAGTAAGTCCAGGGGTGCAGTGCTTCACGGCATCTTTTTCCCACCCCTCCCTCCACCTTTCCCATTTCTCCTTCCCCCAAGATTTTTCTTTCCCTCAACTTCCTTCCAGAACGTTGATTTTTTCATTTCCCGTACTCCAGAATAAAAAGAAATCATCTCCCTTCCTGCAAAATACCCTCCTTTGCACACGGAAAGTTTCCAAACCTTTCCTTCCCCTTTAAAAAAAACAAAAAAAAACACCACACAAAAAAACCCCCAAAAACAACAGAACCGTATCCTAGCTAATTTCGTTCCCTCGCGTTCATCTGGGCGAGACGTGGAGTTCTCTGCAGAGACTCTGCCGTGCGGGGTTTCCTCGGGCGAGGCTCTGCATCTCTGAGTTTTCCTTGTGGTAAATGGGGTCAGAGGAGCAGGTCTGCTCACGGAGGGGATGCGCGAGGCTGAACTCGGTCTCACTTGTTGAGGATGCCTGAGCACCCTGGCCGCGGATGCTGCTCGGGAAGCCCAGCAGGAACGAAAAGCGGTTTCTACAGACTGCTTCAGGGATGCTGCGGGAGGGAGCCTGCGCCGCTGGCAGACCCCTCAGCATTTCTGAATCCATTGTCAGGTGCTCTGACTGAAAATCCTTGGATGACGTTGGCTCCGAGGGGCATTTCTCTGCTGTGAACTTTACCTTGCGTGTGTCTCTTGCTGTCTCAGGTAGCTGGTACTCTGGTTTGTCTGTCAGTTGGGGTACCCTCTGCCTGATCCCTCTGGAACTGGCTGCCTCCGTAGAGGAGCCCATGGCTGAAAAACTCTGAAAATGGATGTGAAAACAGGTAGCAGGCTGGAGAAAGCCTAGGTGGGGTTCCCAGCCTTTCCCCAACGCAGACGTAGCGTGCTGGCTGCCTGACTGTTTGAAGCTATAGGGGAGGATCCTTAGTGTGAGTTGGGAACATCTGGAGTGTCTGGTTCAGTTCAGGTCGGTGTGGGAGGGAAGGAGCAGGCATGTCCTCGTCTCTCTTCCCGTTGTCCTTCCCTGGTTTCCTGCACACAGCACCCATGTCTCATACAATGCAGCGCTCGGAGCCTCTCTGTTAATTGATTCTGAAGTAGCTCCAAGGGTGTCAAACTGCTGGCTGGTGAGGTGCAGTGGGAAAGGTGTTTTGCCCAGCCCGAACGGAAGGGAAATGATCTCTTCTGAAGTCCTTTTTGCTGTGAACTGTCCACCGCTGTTTGGTTTTTAACTCCCTCCTCTTGCTCGCGGCAAGGCGCTGCTTGGTACCCTGAGGAGTGCCTGATGGCTTCTCTGCCAAGCAGGGCAGCACCCCCCACCCCGCTGCCCTCCCAGCTGAGACGTGCGGTGATGTGGATGCCCCGCTCTC